ACTAGTTTCAGATCCCTGGCAGTATCTGCTTTTCTTCCAGCTTCTTTGTCAGACTCTCTCAGAAGTGTGCACACAACCCCATACATGTACAGATGCCTCCTCTCCTCTTCCTTGTCTCCCAGTTGGCTGTAGCCCTTCTTTTCTCTTTGGACTTGGAGATCAGATCAGCCTTGTGAGAAGGGAGGTGCCTGATGCCTGACTGTCCTCATATACTTTACCTTTCAAGTCCATCAGTGTCTAAATTAAAGTTACTGACAGCTTTCCTCATTTTTAATTAAAAATGCATTTTCTGATGAGCACTTGGAAAAAGGGAAGCTGGTATGCCTCTTGGCATTCAGTGTAGGAAGAACTGTACTCTTGGGACAAGTTGAGTAGCCAAGACAAGTGGCAAGCTGGGGTTTCTAGGGGCACCTTGCAAAAACTCTGCTGCTCTTGGTTTGATTTTCAACTGCTCTTTCTCTGGGACACAAGTAAATTATAACCTGGAAAGGGAGAGAGGCCTCATCTCTCTCTGTAGAAGGTCAGAGTCCTTTTATAATTTTGCAGCAGTGGATGTCATTTTGCTTGCCAAAGTAAGGGGCTTGCATGAAAGTCATCCTCAGGATCTTTGTGTTATAAATAAATCTCCCTGTGACTGCAGTGCTGACCTCCTGCCGAGCTTTGATTTTTATCTGTGCATGTGACAAACCTGCATCCACTTGAAAAGGAACCAGATTTCCACACTAAGAGATTATGTGGGTATCCTCATTTGCTCATTTTAAGAGGAGGACTTCATTATTCTAACCAGAGGAATTAAAATTGCTGCAAGGAAGGAAGGGGAGGAACCAACAACAGCCCAGCAGGAACCTGTGTACAGTCTGTGGTATAAGGCATAGGTGGAAGTCAGGTAACTGTCTCAGTGGATTAATTTTAGGGAGTTGGATTTGGACACAAACTTCGGAAACCTCAAAACCAAACCAGGAACAAAGTTCCCACTGGCAAATGCCACAGGGTCAAGCCATTGAATAGTTTATATATTCATATCCCCTGCACTGGCTGGTTTGTAGCAGAGTAAAAGCATCTTCTTCAAAAGAGATGTTGCCTCTTAGTCTTGGGTGCTGTAAGTCCTTATGTCTGCAGCAGAAAGAAATGTTGTTTCATGAAAATTTAACCAAGAGAGTAGTACCAAAATGTAGTAAATTATCAGGAAGCTGCTTGGTTTCTCCTCCTCAGAAATGCTACTTGTAGCATCTCAAAGGGCGCTTGTTTTTTTTTTATTAAGATTTTTTAACCAGATATTACCATTGCAAGGCAGACAGGGGTGGGATCTTATTTTCACAGCAGAGCTGATGTGAAATGACCAGAGATACTGTTATATGGCAAACCCAAATGGTTTTTGTGTGCAGAAGTGGCTCTTTCTTCACGGCACGTTTGCATTTTAAGTAAAGGTGACCTGAAGCAAAAGACATGAGAAGGAAGATGCATGGGGAAGTGGTTGAGTTGATACTCTGAAATCTTCCTATTTAATTCTTGCTAGTCAAGTGGTTTCATGTACCAATAGAAAGGAGTGGAGCGGGCCAGTGCCCTTGAGTCTGCTCTCTTTTCAATGAGCAGCAACTCACATGAGTAATTCCCTTTATTTTTAATGTGATTAATTGATGATAATTTGCTAGAAAGTCATAATCTGGACCACAAGGTTTTATAGCAGGTCTTGTAAAGGAGTTTTGGGCAGAGGCAAGAAGGAAAGTGCTTGGAACAGAAGGCAGGACTGTACAGGACTCGAGTAGGAAAGATGTCATCAAACTCAGAGCAGTTTGGAGAGACAAAGACTGGAGAGACAGTTTTGGTGGCGAGTTATTTGTGGACATGCATTTGTTGTGCTAGAAGTGAGAGTGGGGTATGTTTGTTCAGCCTGACTCCAGACATGCTGACTGAATGGATGGAAAGCTCACTTCCTGGTTTCCATATACCCTCCCTGTTTCCAAACGGATCCTCCACCCTATGATACAGGGACATGGTGACGGGTTTCTTTCTGCTCACTACACCAGTCATGCAATTGGAGGCTCCTCCTCATTGTAAGCAGATGAACTGAGCTCCTTCAGTTTTGCCAAATGCACTGCCCAGCTGTATTTTCCTGTCTGCCCAAAGCCAACTACATCCCTAACTCAGTTCTCCGGGACTCTACATCCAGACTTCCCTTCTTTGCCTTCATACAGGGATGATTTTACCCCAGGTGACAGACTTGCTTTCTGATTTAGCAAACTTTGTTCCTAAGTTAATTATCGCATATCAAAGATGTGAGTAACAACTTGTGGAGACTGCCTGTGTCTGAGCAGAATAACCTGGGGCATTAAGTGAAGGGTTTATTTCATCAATCATATGTGTATTTGCAGTTATAACAAGAATAACTTCCTTCAATGGAAAAACATTTGTCACAGACAAAAGAGTTTTTGACTTTCAGATGCTCTGCAGACATCTAATTAAGAGAACTGAAAATCTGTTTATTGGTCTTTGTCTGTTAATCATGTGAGGAAAGGGCTGTGAATTGGCTCGGGACATCCCATTATCTTTGGAAGATTTGGGAACATTTCATTCAGGTCCACTGATGTTTTTTTTCTCCTGTATACATCTGTTTCTCATCTTCCACTTTGCATCCTTCTCTGTGGGTAGGAGGATACAGAACCCTGCTTTTCTAGGACTTCAGCTCTAACTTGCACTGGCTTTGAATGGCAGAACTCGGTGCAGGAAAATGCTGAGGAAAGGCTCCCTGCTTCTGCTGCACTTTATTCAACTTCAACATCCTGAAGGCTTCCAGAGTGCCCCTGCCTCCCCCAGCTCCCTGACATCCAGACCTTCCCAGTGGAGGCAAGAGCTGGGGTGGAAAATGCAGTCTAGGAAAGTTTAGCCAAACTCTTCCAGCTTCAGTTTATTGTATCTATTTTGCTGATATCCACCCTTTAGATAAATAGCACTAAGTTATACCCGTTGTGGCTCTCTTGATGTGGTTAAAAAGGCTTGTATTAGCCAAGATAATCTAACTCCAAGAATAACCCTGGGAATTTGACTGTATCAGTTCCAGCTTCAATCAGTCACTGCATAGTAAAGTGAGAATTGCCTTCCTGGCTAAAAGTGTAGCAACAGTGAAACTTCAAGTCAGTAGGTGGGGATTCCCTCCCCCTCTTTTTTTCCGCCTCTTCTTTGAAGGAAGCTCCTGCCCATGCCTGACCTCAGACACCCAGAGCTCTACCTACAAGAAAACAAAATTTCCCATTTTTAATAAAAAACGTGTCTTTGTAGACAGAAAAACGAGTTAGCTAACAATCCGCAAAGCTATGGTCTATTTATTTACTATGCTGACTCCCTGATGGGGAAACATGTGGGATCTTTTAAGTTCTTCTCCTGCACAGATGTTCCTTCTACTCCAGAGTTTCCTCTTGATCTTTGGTTTGCTGTGCCATATGGTGAAAACGCTGGAGATGTTGTGTGCAGTGGAAGACGAGAAGGATTCTGCGTGCTTAAAACAAAACCAGTAAAAAATAAAAAAAATAATTCTGACTGTTTTTCCCCTAGTTAGCAAAAAAATATTTTTAAAAGGAAATCTGTCGAGTTAGCAAAACCGCTGTTGACTTGCACAGCCTCTCTGTTGGACACGTAGCACTGATGAGATTAAATGTTGATCGACGAGTATCCCCTCCCTTCCCCCAGCTCTTGCTGCCACTTTGCATATTTGTATTGAGCTGTAGATCCAGTTGAGGTGAGGAGATAGGGGTTCTGCAAGGGCAAGTAACACGACTGCTTGCTTTTCCTTCCTTTCCTTCCTCAGAGATCACAGGAGCTGTGGGCTGTGAGTTGAAAGATGTTTCTCCTAGTTGGTTGGAAAAGAGCTCTTGGCAGGAGCTTTGGAGTTGCCCTTGCCCGAGGGAGTCAGGGCTTCTGAGTAGGAAGGGGACATTGAGCATCATAGAGACATCATGCATAGGAAACACAGGGAGAAATGAAACAGAATGGGAAAATTTGGGTCTGTCTTAGTAGCATCATGTGCTGAATGAGAGTGAAATGTTGCAGAGGGTGAATGGGAGAGACAAGAAACTCTGAAACTCCAGTTTTCAGGGCTGGAGCTGGTCTTTTTGGGGCAAGTCCATGAAGGCATCACTAGAGCAGATGCATCTTTCTGTCTGAGGCCTTTCAGCTGGTCTTCAGCCTCAGTGGCACTTGTCCATCAGGCCTCATCATCCAAGGGTATATTGTAGGGCTCCTTTAGGGAACATCAGATCAGCATTCCTAGGCTAGGAAACTATGTGCTAAAGGGTACTGGGCTGAGAGCACACCCACCTTGAGCTGTGCTTTCAGGCCATTGGTGGGGCCGGTGTTCTGTGGGATGTTTTGCTCTCTGAGGCCTCCCTGCCTGCTGTAATCCATGTAGAGACTGCAGTGAAAGATACTCTCCAAAACTCCATCTCTGTCTCCCAGAGAGAACAGAGCTCTTTCTTACTGGACCAGAACAGTGGGTCTTTCTGGCTCTGCCATAAAAGCAGAGCAGGTGTTTTCATTATTATATAATAAATATAATTTATATATATTTATTATATATATATATATATAATTTTATATATTATTTATTATTTAATCTGGTTGCTTGAACAGCATTTTTAGCCAGGAGGGTGGTCTGTCAGATGGACAGGTAAAACTTGTTACTCCACCAGCACACGCAGGCTGTGTATTAGAGACAAGGCATGTGTCTTGTAGCAAAAATTAGGAGCCTAATTTTAGAATGACAGTAAGGCCAGGCTCAGCTGTCTCCCTGGGCCCTGTCCCAGCTCCTTTGTGCTGCCAGAAATTTGCCCTCCCTTTCTTGGAGTGAACTGTATCGTACCTTTTTATGTACAGGCTTCCCTCCAACAAGACAAAATAATTCCTGCAGTTGCTTTTGTCTTAAACCGCACGCAAACCAAGAGATCCCTTGGTCCCTATGCAGATGGTCCATGCTTCCCCCTAAGATGTTTGTTGTGCTTCCTTTGCAGATGCAGCTTCTGGACAAGTTCCCTATTGAAGGAGGCCAGAAAGATCCCAAGCAAAGAATCATTCCTTTTCTACCAGGTAATTCTGTGGGGAAAGCCCTAAATAAAATGGCTGAGAGCAGCTGGAGACCGCAGTTCCCCAGCTACTGTCTCTAGTACTTTTTGAGGCCATTCTTATAAATGCCTTTTCTTTGGGAGCTCATACACTCAGCCTTGCACCTTGTCCTAAAATAACTGGCATGGTGTTTAGGGCTCTCAGGAGATCTTGCATCAGCTGTTCTGATTCAGGTTGACTCATGCCCTGTTACACAAAGGAATTTGATGGCTTTTGGGGGGATTTGTGTCTTTGGGGTACAACCAGGCAGCCTGAGCTCCAGCCACCATTTGGGAGACCACTGGGGACCAGAGCCAGTCTTTGTTATTTCTGGATGCTGTGGCTCTGCAGACACTGTTACTGTACAATAAGGAATTAATAACTGGTGTTTCCCCTGTGATAGAAAGGAAGCTGAAGGAAGGTTAAATGCAAACAGGGATTTCTGCAATTCTGGCCAATAAGATATTTACTTATCTTTTTAGCCTGAGCCACTGTTTCTCTGACACCTTTTGTAGAGGGCCTGGACATGACAGATATCCTGTCCTCAGGATAACAGCACGCACTTCTACACTGCTTCTTTTAGCAGCAGCTGCAGGGATGGCATGGAGGAGATGAGCCAGACCACAGTGTGCACTTGGAAGTGCAGGCTCGGGCCAGCTCCCTGTTGTCTGACTGCACAATTCTGGCTGTTGGCTTAAAGTTTGGCTTGCTGTACTGCCTGTCAGGATAAATGGAGTATTTTCAGCCTGTTAAAGGCTCTGTTCTGTCTCTCACTATAAAAAGGAGATCCCAGCACTTTCCTTAAGGTCTGTGAAGAGAAGCTGGGATGGGAGGGCTTAGTCCTCTCCAGGAGCATGCTGTGGTCCCTAACGCTATTTGCAGACAAAGCAGCTGCTCCAGACGTGTAGTGGGCACAGCTCCAAGGTTACTGGGGAGCAGGGACTTAAAAAGCAGCAGCACAAATACATGACACAAGCATCAGAGCCACAGCAGGGCAGCAGGGTCTTGGCAGCCTCCATAGACCTTGTGGAAGGCAGTCCCAGGCTCGGAGTTTGCTCTCTGCAGTATTCTATGCTGCATTCAGAGTCTGTAGCCGGAGGAAGGTGGTGTTGCCATCCATTTCCTGTCTAGGATGAAGAGAGAAGTCTAAGAGTGGGCTCTCTTTTTAGCTGTACCATCAAAAGACTCATAGCCAAATCACTTTGTGAAACCTCTTTGTGATAAGAATGGAAATTGCTGGACTGCTATTCTTACTGGAAAGCATTTTGAGGTCTGTGAAAGCACTGTACAGGAGTGCAGATTGCTTCACATGAGGTGCTGTAGGAAAATCCTGTCTGCAGGTAGCATTTTTCCCTCCTGTATTGACTGTCACTGGCCTGTTTTGTTTTCTCCTAGAAAAGTATTGGCTGAGTGCAGGTGGCTGCTTCTCAGCCTTTATGCAAATTGTAATGATGGATGTTCTGATATATGGGTGTGTGATATTTGCAGAGGGTGAGATAAACCCCATATGCCCATTACAACACTTCCTACCCTTCCCACCCTCCAGGAATATGAGGGAGATGGTAGTGCCACATGTCCTTGAGGGGAAGAGTTATATCTGGAAAACATTTGGGTTGACTTAGTGTCCCAAAGAGAGAAGCTGCCATAATAGAATAGACCTCAGCTGTATTTAATTTAAAATTTCTGTGATATATGTTCTACTTTTGATATCGAATCTCTGCCTCTTTCTTGTTGAACTGCTGAGCAGCCCTTGTTGCTTTACCCAGGAACAAGGTGACTCAGCTAAATGTCAAACATTGTCAAACTCCGTTAAATAAACTAGCTGCCAAAATTAGAATATGCATGGCATTTCTGCAGCTGGAGCCATGGATTACAGAAATGAATACCTAGCTATAAACTCTCTTAATTAAAAAATGGCAAAGCAGATGTTTGTACTTAAATCCTACTTTATGAAGATGTCATGGTCCTGCTTGCTTATTGTGGGTCCGATTCAACCAAGCTGGACTGGCTCTGCATGCTGGGTTCTGAGTGCCCAGGGTTTGCTGTGCCACCTGCAGGGTAGGACAAATCCCCCCATCAGCTCTGGATTAGAAATTTGGCATATTTCATCCTTCAGCTCCCATTTGTCGGTGCTCTCCCGAAATAATAGTGCTTGACTGTGCTGGAAACCTTTTACCTATAAAACCAAGGAAAATGTAATGGGGTTCAGAGCCTTGCCCCTACAAGGACAGACCATACTGGGTTCAGCAGCAGGAAAGTTCAGTTCTTCTTTTCTCCAGACACCTTTATCTTATTTTCATCAATTTTTTTCTTCAAATATATTTCCTATCACTTCTCCCTTACACAAATAAGGAGTCAACACCTTTCAGTGCCATGAAGAGATGCAAGGAAATTATGAACAGTGCCAGGTAGTCCTGTAAAAAATGTCCTGTGTAGTTTTCTAGTTTTGTTTTATTTTTTGAGAGAGACTTCCTTGCCTTCAATTTTTTTTTTTTAAATTTTTTTTAACCATACTGAGAGGGGAAAAAGTGATATTTTTGTCTCCTTTCCTCATTTTATCTTCTTCCCATGAGTTTTTTCCGTTCTTCTTTCTGATTTCCCTTTTTACTATTGGAAAATCCTGCATCAGGAGGGGTCGTGCAGAAGAAAACTGCATGAGAAACTCTGTGGATTGGCCAGAGAGAAACTTTGTAGCTGGTGGTATGATTTTTTTTCTTTGGAGGGAGACTGTGGAAGAGTCAGAATAAAATTTGATGCAAAAAACCCCTCTACAGCGAAGACAGTTTGTTGCTCTAAGAAGACATGGATGGAAAGTGCTGTTTGAATGTACCAGTGTGGCTGTTGGTTGAGCCCATTTGCAATACACTGATTTCTCCATCACCTCTCCTGCTTTATATCTGAAGAATGATCTTTGGTGTGTAGATAAGTAGTTTTGCTCCCTCCCTGCCAGGTACTTTTACATCTGCGTCAGCAGAGAAAAGGGTTTATGGATTTGGGCTCCTCTTTTCAGGGATCTTGAGGTAATTAATGAAGGAATTTCAGCTGGAAGGAGAAGACATGTCTCCTGAGCTTCTGGAGACCACAGTGGCAAATGAAATTGCAGAGACAGCATGATGCAACTCCGGGATTAACAGTTTTGCAGTGGTTGACCCAAGACTTCAGGGCTTGCATTGTTTTTCATTTCTCTTGGCACTAAGTGGGAGAGCCATCTGGAGACAAAGCTGGAGGCATGTCAGCTTGTCTTGCTCCACTGTGTCTTCCAAAGTGCAGCCCTGTGGAAAGCGCACTGCATGGCTTGAAATCATTGTGTCACGCTGGGCTGCAGATCCCTGCCTTGGAGAGAGGCTTGGGCTTGCCATGGCATGGAGGGCTGGCCATTGATGATGGCAGCCCCTTGCATTTCCCACACAGATTCTAGCTTGATCCCTGTCGGACTTCAAACCACTTTTGACCCCCACTACAGAAACAGGAGGTTTCTGCATAGGATGTGCCAGAAGGGGAAAATCTTCGCTGGGTGTCTGCTCTGCAGCTTCCATGCTGCCTGGAGAGGGAGACATCCTGTTCAAGAAGACTACTTTGTGTGCCTGGTTTACCTAACTCTTGGGAAGCTGAGTCCTGTCCCAGGGGAGCAGGATGATCAGTGCAGGCTGCCCTACCAGCTTGGTCAGGAAGCTGGAGGAGCAACACCCCAGCCTGGCTCCAGTCCCTGCCTCCAGTGCTTGGAGCCTCTACCAGAGAGGCAACTTCTCTCTTCCTTTTTTTCCCCACTCAGGTTTTCCTCCTCCCTTGACTAAGTTGAGGAAAGAGGATCCATGGATCCAAAGATCCATTTTGGGGCACATGCTGCCAGTGTAGCTTGGTGGCTGTGTCCCAGGACGCTGGGAGGGATGCCAGCATGGGGGATGAGATGTCACTTAGCTGCTGTCACCTCGCTGTGCCCCGCTGACCTGCTCTACCCCTGAGAAGAGAAACACTCCGGCACCATCTCTGGGACTTTCTCCTTCGTCGGTAGCAGGAGCACACAGTGTGTGCTTTTTTAGGACAGGCAGCAAATTCAGGGCGGCAGAGATCCCTGCTGGTAGTGCGAGTTCGGCTCTGTTTCCTGCTCCAGAGCTGTGGCGAGTTGCTCCTGCCTGGAACAGTGGGTGGGAGTCGGGTGAGCTGATCCCTGCCTGGAGGGCTTCGCCTGACTGCCTAATCTCTGGGCAAGGCTCCCGGTTCCCCAGAGAAGCCCCAGTCGGTCCCAGGCTGAGGTTTGCTGGAGGCTGTTCCTGCAGCGGAGTCGGAGGAGCGGGCCCAGCTGAGGGCAGAGCCGTGTGAGTCAGGAGGGCCGCGGGAAGGGCGAGGCCGGCCCGGCGAGGGCGCGGCCCAGCACCGCCCAGACACCTGGGGCTGCCGCCGGAGCCTCCCCGCTTTGCACAATGCAGGAGGATGGGGAATAACCTCTCGCTAATGCCGGCTGGGACCTTCCTCACCTCTGTTTCTGCCACTCCCGGGCTGCAGTGGGGAAGGAGATCTGCCGATGAGCTGCATCCCAGGTGCTTATGTCTGCTTTTTGGTTTCGGTTTGAGGTGCTGGGTTTGGTTTTACCCCCTTCCCTTTCCAGTGCTGTCTTTTTGGTAAGACGGGGTTGAGGAAAAGGGCTTCACTAAGGTTTGCAACAGCAGAGTTTTGTTCACGGTGATGAGAGCAGGATTTGTTTTTGTTTTCCTCTCACCTTTGTATATTCCAGCTTTTCTCCTTTTTTTTGCTCTGGGCTGGGGGAGAAGCATTGTTTTGTTTAGAGATCATGTGCTGGAGCAGAGATGATGGGGTTCCTCCTCGCACGGCCAGCAGCGCAGTGACCCTCAGATCCAGCCATTCATGTTATACATGTGTAAATTGGGACCAGCATCAGCAAAATTAGGATTTGGCCATGTATAATTTTGTCAAAGATGCTGCATTTCAGCAGGGTACAGTGCATGGAAAGTGCTTTCAACATCTGT